GTCGAACTACCTTGTCAACAAATATATTACAACCTAATAAAGTTGAAAAAAATAGCCTTTAGGGCTCACAAGAGTTTCAACTATGCCAAAAGTCGCAAGAAGTTAAATTGGAAAAAAAACTTCAAATGCATCCAATGAATACAATTTTAGACGTCAAGAAAATAACGTTGAACATATACTGTGAGAGATAAGCTTTTCACTATAACATTCATATTAATCTCTTGAATCTTCCAGATTTTTAAATATGAATTATAGAATTATAGAATATGTATTTAATTTGTGGTGATAAAAAATGTAGAGGTTAAGCTCCGGGCTTTGTGGCTGTGGTAATAAAGTTGTGGGATAAGAGAAAACAATTTTTTTAATTATATATTTTTTGGTAGTTTCAAATTGTAACAGCTTTAAAAATAGCCCTTTTCGTAAACTATACGAGAGAAACTGCACATCAACGGCTCTTTATAGCCAACGATTATTTTATGGCATAAGGAACGCATAGTACTTTTCAGCATAATTATATTTTTTTTTTAATTTTTAAAGCTTATTATTTGACCAAATAAACTGTATGGATTCCGAACAAATATGTGTTCAAAAGGAAGATTTTGGTCTGAGAAGTGTCAGAAATAGGTGTAAAATTTTTAACTGTAAAAGTTTTACGTTACATGCCAACACACTACGGTGTTCCATTTAGAGAGTCTCGGGCGAAGCCGAGACGGGGGGAATGCTGGTAAATAAATTATAACGTTAGCAACTGCAAATTGATGGCTCTTTTTTAGGGCCAACAGATATTTTATAGCGTGAGTAATACACAGCACTTTTTATTACAGTTAACTATTCAAGGAAAACAATATGGGTTTCAAACAAAAATTTTTTTAATTAATTTTTTTTTTTTTTTTTTCAACAAGTGTCAAAATTTTAAACTATTGATAAACCGAAAATATTTCTGAAAATATTTTACTTAGTGTGTCAACGCACTAAGGTACTCCACTCCGTAAATCTCAAGGAAAGCCGAGAAGGGACCAATAGTATGTTAATATAAAGGATTTAAGACTTTCCTTCAAAGCTAAAGATTTATCAACGATTTAAATAATGCAAAAAAAGTTGCGTAGTACTTGTTCCTAGTGACGAAAAATAAGCTTATTATTATGTGGCTCATCGTTCCTATATCTTGTTCGAGAAACCCGACAGTTTACAGCTAGAGAGAAAGAAACAAATATTGACAAAACCTTACAATTAGCCAATGAAAGCAATACCTAACCTTGGCCCAGGCGTGTGAAGTGTGGGTGCGCAAAAAGAGGTAACTAGCTATCTCGCCATCATAGCTGCCTCAGGGATCTTACAAAATGCTACAGTTCATTGCAACTGTAGTCTACTGAAGCAGTTGAAACCAAGAGCGGGAAGGCTGATGCGGTTGCTGCAGTGAGTGTTTATGCATAACATACACTTGTTGACCTGACAGTAATGTTTAAGACGAGGATCTTCATGATTAAGGAATTGCATGTGCGTCGGTATTTTTGAATTTTGCTCTTAACGTTTTAATACGCTTGGTAGAAAAGGTTTTTTGTTGGTTATGGTCTTTTTGTCTCCTTCAGATCAGACTGTTTTCCATTGAATCATGCTTCAATTAGATTTGTTAATTTCAAAAACTGGAATTTTATTATCATTAATATCTATTTCACTTATTTGTCAAGCTATGCAATAGATGATCGAAAGATCTCAGAAGATTTGAAGTATCTGTCCTTTGCAGGTCTAATATTGTCTTTTTTAATTAGAATCTTATGAGAAAAAATTTTTTGAGGATAAACAGATTTGCAAGATTTGCAACCATAATTAGAATATCTTTTACTGTGACTGTTGTAAACAAAAATTAATACATATCCTATTTTCATTAAACAAATTGAATTAACATTATTATAATATTTTAAAATTAATTGTTGTGAACTCTAGAGATATATTGACCATCATGATGTGCATGCATAAATGTTCTTAAAGCAGGATTATTTTCCTGTTCTACATAATTTAAAATATTGATTTATGAATGATCTATTGAGAACTGAGATTCCTAGGCTACGCAGGCTTCCTTTCACGAGGCACTGTGACTAGGTGCTTTATTATTATTGATAATGAATTGTTTCCTTTTAAAAAAAGTTTTAAAAATGATAAGCTAACATACATATGTAAAAAGATCCTCTTGAAACTTTACTCCCACAGCTCAGCTGATTACAGTATAGTCCCACGCTAGATCAATTACTGATTTTCTGCTTCTTTTCCGCATTAGATATAACTACATGAATTCACACAAATACATGTATAACAAAGCTTATGAATCAATGCTGTAATGGAAAAAGAGGGACCGAGCTTATCATATCAAAAACAGTCGTCAGCGTGAGATATATTGGCCCCAGTCGTGGGAAAGTAGTCGATAAGCTGACCGGCCCAAAATATTCGCGTTTCGACTGTTCTTCCTATTTCGGCTGCTCAACTTTTTTTTTAACTTTATTATTGTATTTTATTTGTTGACAAGATTTTTATTAATTAATTGTAGAATAGCTGTTTTTTTATAACAATTACAGAAAGTAGTACTGATCCCGGTTTAGAGGAGCCGTAATCAGTTTTTCTGTTTTTTTTTTGTCGTGTGAAATTTTTGCGAGAAACAAGAAATGATTAATATTCTGGAGATATCGTGGGATGTTAGAAAAATATTTAAATATTTCTGAAATGAAATTTAGTGCTAGAGTTTTCATGTTTCATTAGTTTTTTTTTTTTTTTTTTTTTTTTTTTTAATACATTTGGAACGTATACTAGATAGTTTAAAATAATCTCTGCTAAATAATTTTTACCAGGATTATTCATTGTCGTTTTATTTTTCATTCTCTGCTATTTGCTGTATTGGTAAGCTAGTAGTATAAACCACTTTATTAAGGTGATGTGTAAAAGTGTATAGCCACAGAACTTAGTATTTGTTTTGAAAATCTCACTACACCATCAACGTTTGGATACGTAACTTTCGACAACTTTATACTCGTCGTGAAGTCGTGAAATCAATGTTTGTCTTAATAAATTAAAATATAAAAAAAAAAGATTTATCCTCATATGTATGATAGAAATGTTACGAAAATTGCCCAACTTTGTCAAGTCTACAAAAAATATCGTATACAAACTCTGTAATTAACTTAATTTTATGAGTAATATGCCGGAAAGTAAATTTAAGGCAATTTCTCGTATATGTATAAAATGTACATACAAAATATCACTTCCCAAAATAGTAATGATCCTACAGCAAGAGGATCAATGCCTCGTTCAAAATTAGCTGCACATGAGGAAAAAACACGTGCTATTTTACAAGATGACCGTCAGTTCATAAGTGGAAGCTGACGTAATACTGCTAGACTAAAGAGAATAAAAAAAAAAAAATTAGGGATACGTGCAAAAGATGACAGTCGTGCTCTGAAGTTCTTCTTGTGCAATATACGTACATGTGAACGTGAAAAATGTTATTTTAGTGTTAAAAATTTATGGAGCAGCTTCGCACATATGTGTTTTGTTTTGATAAATTATGTAAATTATGTTGAAACTGGACTAGGACATAAATCATTAAAAATAAAATATCAACTGAGAACTACTATTTGATTTCTATCCAGCAGAAAATATAGATATAAAGCAAAAAAAACACCGTAAAAGCCACGTCAAATAGTACAGTCCATAGTTGTCCATATCAATAATAAATGTTTTTGTAAAAATACCGATTCGTTTGAAGACTGGTCTTTCCTTCGAATATCATAACTATTGCGATTTAAGGTACCATCAATTAGTTTCAACACCAATTACCGTTTATATGATCAACTCTACTTAGCCCTTAAATTTGTTGACTGTTTTAATAAATCCAATTAGAATAAACACTCCTACTTTTATCATCAATATCTAGTTAATGACGCTTTTCTTGAATTTTCTATACAATAACATTTAAGTCACGATACCCAAAATCAAATCTCAAATTAAAGCAAATTTTTAACAGTGGACTAAGAAAAATCTTAGCTCAATCAAAAATCTCGGTCGACAGTAGGCGCACCTACCGTATAGTATAGCATGATAAATTTGAGTCCATCATCCTTGCTATGTTGTAATACGATACACGGATCGGGGGCCTCCGGCGCACGTGAGAAAGAAGGAAAGAGTGTAGCAGTGTATGCATACATGCATAGCCAAGAGCGCGGGATTGCACAAGAGAGAGGGAACCTACCTCTGGCTCATGGCTCCGCAAAGCAAAGCAAGAGAGATTACCTTTGTGAGTGTGTGGGTACCTAGCCGTGGAGGTGCGGGCATTACGTCGCGAGCCACCAAGCTCGAATGACGCGTTCGCGCCACGCGCTCGTACTACTCTTATGTGTCATTGCCGTTGTAAACGCAAGTTTCGTGATCGGTATTTAAATACAGATTGGTTACGTACTTCAGGTTTTTTTAAATTACGTTTATGTTTTTTCGCTCGGTGAGTCTTGTGAGAATGGTGGTACGATGCGATAAGGATCTGAGTTTTGAGTTTACTGCTCAGAGTATGAGTTGCGCTTTTCAAGAACTTTGAGTGTTACTAATTAATCCTAATAGGTAGAATGTTCCTAAACAAGTTCTGACAATGATGTATTTCTGGCTTAAGAAAGAATCTCGTTCTTATGATTTTTATGGAAAAATTGTGTGATTATGGGTTAGATCATGTATTTTAACGAAAGAAGAGAAACGAGTGAAAAGTCTCAGCTGTCAAGCAACGAGTACGTGATGCCGCGCAGCGCAAGTAAGAACCTGTTGATGTTGCGCTTTGGTAGGGTGGGTACCATTTAGTGTTATCTTAAGTGAGAAGAGTACGCAAGTGTGTGCAAAAATAAATTGCATTTTTTTTGTGCTTTTGGTACATGGATACTTGTGAATACGGAAAAAAGCACATTTACGATCCACTAGCGTAACTAAGCTTTTAATTTCTTTATTCAAAACTACAGTTACTGTAAATAAGAAATTGTTGTAAATTTAACAATTAACGGTAACATTGATTGATTCGTAAGTAGAAAGGAGTGCAATTATTAGGAGATCAGGTTCAATGAAGACGAAGTGAAAATATTTAATAGACTAGAGTGAGCACAATGGAATAAGGTGTAGTGTGTAATGCATTTCATCTAGCTCAAACAACAAAAATAAATTTTTTTTTTAAATAAAGCACAAATAGTTTGTAAGATAATGGTAAAAAGGCAAAAACATAAGAATGAAAGAGCACAAACTCTCGAAATCGGTATTAAGTTGTTATTACTCATTCCTCTACGTACGATTTCTTAAATCAGGGATACCGAAAAATCACCATAGACCTCTAAAAAGATCATTGATAGTGATAAGTACACATCAAAAAGATTTAAAAAAAGGACTCAGTAAATTTCAAAATCTGTACTCTTCGCAGTCAAGTAAAGCACGAAACAAAGTGCTAATTAAAACAGACGACAAACAATAAAAAAGCCCAAAACAGAAGTAAACGTTTACCGATCGCTGCCTCGAATCTTTGTTTGCACCGTTAAACGAAGTACCGATCGAACAATCGTGATTCATTGGCCAATGGGATGCATCTGCCAGTGGGCTCGGTAAGCTGCAGCGCTTTGGGCCACCCTCAACAGCAGCAGCAGCCCCGGCATTCCCTTCACCATCAAAACCATCACCAGCTTGGCCAACATCATTTAACTCGTCACGAGCAACAAACACTCATACCGCTTGACAGCCGCCACGACCAACAACAACAACAGCAGCAGCAGCAACTAGAACAACAACAGCAGGGAAATTACGACCAAGAACAGGTGCAACATCAGGAACAACAGCAGCAGCATCAGCAATCTACGGTGAAAGAGATAGCAGAACCGGGGCCGGCGGGTAACGCTGGCGAAATGAGTGAGGCTGCGGCGGTCGGAGAACTATGGTGGACTGAAAGGCTCGTTGGTGAGGCACAGGCCGAGCATCCTGGTGAGCTGGTCAGAACAGGTTTGTGTGCCTAATCCTTATTTTTTTAATTATTCAAAAAAAAAGTAACTAGCCACATTTTTTACCGATTTTAATGATTTGATTAACTAAATCATACGCAAAATTAAATGAGCCTACTGTTTGACTGTGATTTTTGTATCAATATCTTTGGTAGCTTGATAGAAGTCGTTTATACATGAAAAAAAAAAAAAAACGAATTATTTGTCGATCCCATTTAAAAAGTAGAGTAAGGATAAGAATTAAAAAAAATATTATTTAAATTAAACAAACTTGAAGATATTGCTTTCCCTAATCGTAAGACATCAAAAGCTTTTTAACCAATTTTACTTGATGCTAGAAAAATTGCAAATAAAAATATTATTTAATCCCTACGATTATGATGCTGCCAAACTAAAACAAAGTGAATATAGATTCAAAAAAGTTGCTTTAGGGTGTCATTATCTTCTTTAAAAAGAGCGTCAAACTTAAGTTTAATAATAATCAAGTTTTAAGAAGTTAACTGATGTAATTAAATGAAATATAAGTCAAGATGTTTCAAAAATTTGTCAAAATGCTTCAAAATATATCCTTTACTATCTTAAAATGTGGTAAAAGTTTTCACAATAAATTAATCTACAGTTTATAAACATCTCATCACTTTTTGCTGCTAGCTGTGCCTCATTTTAAACAAACCTAAAATTAGGTTTATTTCGTTCTATCCATCTTATAACCTTTCTTGTAACTGAGTTATAAAAAAAAGTGTCCAATAAATTAGTAAATTCAATAGTGTTACAATACTGACACTGATAAAGCCAACCAGTTTCTCGGCTTCCCTTTCAAACCCCTTGAAAAGATACAAACTTATTTCCAATTAGCTTGAATGCAGCTAAAGCACTTATAGGTAATGTATTATAAACATTTTTTTTACCCATTAACATAATTATTGTTCAAAAAATCAACTCTAAGAAAGAGTTTTAGTGATATCATGTATTCTGAGTACATTTCGATTATAATTCCGTATTTATACTTTTATTTTTCAAAAAATGATGTGACGACTTCTCAGACGCTAGTGCACTTCTACATGCATCCACGAATTCGTGGAACCACACTGTACAAAAATTTCCTCTAAACTCCAACTACAGGATAAAATACATATCTCGTTTCTTCTAGGACACATTTATGTGCGCAGATTCTCTTTATTTTGTAATACAAGTCCTCCCACTCACATTGACCCTACCAATTAAGCTCGGGTGCACTGAGTCTAATACTTAAGTGGCCCCCGGGCATACGTTACCTCTTATAATGAGAGTTGTACCCCTCTCTCTTCATAATGACTTCAGAAGAAGTCTGCTCATCCGTTGCATTACGCAGAAACAACATTCGAGAGTGGTCGACATAGACCTCTTATGAGCCGTGACAATAATCGGGAGACTGGAGTTGGGAGACAATAGTAGGGAGAAATTTTAGCTCTTCCTACTTTTATCTCTCTCTCTTTTTCTCTCTCCTCCCCCCTTCTTTCGATACAAGAACTCACGTTTCTAAAGTTTTTCGTTGGCAAGGTCTTCGGGTATATATATACTTGCCACGGAAGAGATTACTTCCAAAAATTACGTCATTTGTCAAACAAAGTTGTAGATCTTGTTACAATGCAACTATTTTGTATCATATTTTTTTTTCTAGATCCCAATGCAAACGCTCTATGATGCAAAACATATATGAAAACAGCGAAAAACACGTTTTTGCATGTTGCAGAAATAAATTCAAATTCTGCAACAACGTGTTAAGTACAAAATTTGTAGAGCTTATTAAAACAAAACTTTTATTGAGGAGGTTTAGGAGTATCATTTAAAATGGAGAGGAAGGGGGAGTCCTCTCTGTCCACAGAGCTTGGCCCTCCTTACAGCACACCCCCTATTGTACCCAACAAACTTAGTATTTTACTTACGTTTGACGTTGAGATGCCTCAAAGTTTTGCTTACTGAGTTATTAAGCAACAATTAATTCACAGAAGGATTTCGTTTAATGTCTTTGCGTTTATCAACAATTTTTATCCATGTGAGTGAGACGAAGAGGTTACGTCCCACAAGAGCCTACGTCGATCACATATATTCATTTGTATAACTCTTTTAAAAATGACCTATCATAAAAATTTAAAATTTATGTAAGTTCTATGTATTCTAGACTATCTAAAAGAACTCAACATCGTGATCTCTGCATTTTATTATTACTCCTAAACCTTCTTAAGTAAGTTATTACGTATAGTGCTTTTTTAATGATTTACTTGGAAAAAATCGTTTTACATCTTTAAGTACATTACGTTCTTAGATACGTATTTAATACGAAAATTTTTAATCTTTCAAAAATATCCTTTTTCGTGTTCACCAATGTCTATAATGATGAAATAATACAATTAACAACAAAAAAGTATAAAAAAAAAAATAGAAAAATGTTTTATAGCATGCAAGTTTGTTATTTTAAATTTCAAGTTAGCATATTGATACTAAAACCCTCTTGGATATGAAAATGGAATAACCCTGTAAACATGTTTCATCATAATTTCTTGCATATGTCTTGCAGACTTCTTATGTTCATCTGAAAGACATTTTGGGGAGTTTGGGAGGTAAAATTCGCTAAGGATGTATTTTAAATAGACATCAGGAGTCTACAAAACATCTAAAACAACATCTTGAAAAAATATGATTACTGGGTAGTATTAAAATTTAATCTTTTTATTCAAGTAACACTTTTCCTCTAGTACCTCGTAGATTTGTCGTGCCTTACATGCAAAACAAAGTATTTTACATGAATAAACCCGGTTGTTTCGCACTTGAAAATAAAAATTTTAAATGCTTTTGGTTAAATGATGACGTTTTGACCTGTTTTTTCTAACTTACAACTATACAAAAAAATTATTTTTAGGCTCTACGTCAAAAATATTTCAAAAAAAATTAACTTACTCCTTATAAAAAGTTCCCGCCTAAAATAATTAAATTTACCATTTTTGAATATAGACTTTAAGGAATAACGCAATTTTTTGTGAAATTACGTAAATATGTAGAGAGAAAGAGAGAGAGAGAGAGAGAGAGAGAGAGAGAGATAGAGAGAAAGAGACAAGATGAAAGGGAAGGAGGGAGCATAGGAGAGTCACCTAAGGGTGCCTGTGGAAGACCTGCTGTTTGGCAACTGCCAGCCAAAGCTCTGTAGCGGGAGATCTGAACAGCGTTTTTGTCATCGTGTGCACACCCAAGGCACTTTATGTTTGTTGGAACGATGAAAAATTATCTGTTAAGTAATAGTATGTATTTGTTATAGCATACGTTATAGGACATCATTGACCGTACGTAGACCAATCGTTCCGACACTTATAAAAGGCCTCGAGCGTAGGTACATGCAACAAAAATAATCAATTTTTTGAATTGTGTTGTCAAAGTCAATTGGATCCAAAGTATGACATTTTTTTTTAAATGGCAAGCAGTAGTGCCGGGGTGAGTATTTTGAATAATTATATGTGAAAAGTGAAAACATAAATATAACCTATTTCTAAATTTATTCCTGGGTGCCTGTACATGAAAGACCTGCTATTTGGCTACTGCCAGTCTCTGTGGCGGTACTATTTGAGTTAAAAAGATGTGATTCTAGGTACAAAAATTTAGCTATTCAATAATTATTGGTGGACAGTTTTTTTTTTTATTTCTTTACCAACGGATCTAAAACATCAAATATGCCGCTTACATTATCTAAGCTTAAACATAAGATTTTATTTTTAATTAAAAAGGAAAATACTGTAAGCCAAGACACTTTAATTAATAGGATAATTAAATGACTCTAAATCATTTACCAAGCATTGTAACGTAACAAGATGAATAAAAAAGAAAGTAAAACGAGTCTGGGTGTCTGAAGCTTACAAGAAAAAAAGTCGAATAGCCCAAGGAGCAAGTGACAATCTTGTACCGACTCCAAGGCTCTATGATCGAAAGGATTTTGTAAGCTTTTTTAGAATGACTGCTGCTTGCCATTTTTATAAAAATTTTATACTTTGGATCCCATTGACTTTGATAACACAATTTAAAAAATAGATTATTTTTGTTGCACGTATACACGATGACGAAGACGTTGTTTGGATCTCCGATTACAGGGCTTTGACTGGCAGTTGCCAAACAGCAGGTCTTCTATGTACAGGCACCGTTAAGAAACAGATATTACAGACGCAAGTTAATCAAAAAAATGGAGACTAGTAACAAAAATTGATGTATAAACGTCAAAAACTACTAAACCTATTTTCAGCAAGCATTGATTAAAGTATTTCGTGCACCTCTCAAGTACTGTTTTAGTACTTTTTAGCATTGGCTGGCTGACATTTAATTTTTATAATAAATAACGGAGCAGTTTAAATCAATAATTTTCTAAAAACATATTAGGCTCTCCTTTCATCTGACAACATATTAATCATACATTACTAGCAGTTCATCAGAATTACGACTAAAGTTAGTGTTGTTTTATATTGTCTTGAATTTTAAGATGGTATATAATATAATTTGAAGGTCACATTTTCCATATCATACAAACTTTACACTTGTAATAAGATTAACTCCACGATAAGAATTGTTAACTTTCTGTACGCAAAAATGTAAATTTAAGACAAAAATAATTCCAAAATACATGTTTATTAACATACAAAAATTGGAAAATCAGTAATTAACGGGTACTTTTTCAATTGTAACAACATTATATTCTTCAAAGAAACAAACGTAACTTTTTGATACAATTGAAATATGAACACTACAAATTTCTTCTTTTAAAGTACTCTTTGACTACGAACTTACACAAACTATAACAATTCGTGATTTTGTCTTTCAACCGTGTTCTTATGATTGTTGTAGTGCTATTTGGGAAATGAAATATTCCACGAGAACTGACAAATCCTCAATGTTCAATACATCATGAGACAGTTCGATGAATTGGGCTGAAAATCTATTTAATACATGTTTATTTTAAATAAACTTTTATGGTAAAAGTAGAAATTTAATGTAAACTTTTTTTATGGTTAAAGTAAGCATTGAACGTAAATTTTTTGATACTATTTTATGTTAACAAACTAAAATGACTTAACTTTAAAATGTTTCGTCTTGTAAAATAAAGGAACAGCAGGTTTAATAAAGTTTTGTACTAAAGAATATTGTTATAATAAAAAAACTTGTTAGAATTATGACAAAAAATGCAATTAATAAAAAAAAAGATACTTTTAACTTGGGACCAAGCCAAGATTAATTTTTAAGCTTTTTCGTAGACCAACTAAGTATGTTTTTGAGTGTTGGTTTGTCCTGCTCTCGTAGAGCTCTACACATTACACCTCGAACAAAAACATTAAAACAAGAGGCTTCAAGTACAATAAGGTCAGTACTAATGGTTGTTGTCTACACTTAAACAGGTTCCCCGTACTTCCTCTGTAGTCAGCTTCCGACGCACTGGCGCTCGAATAAGACGCTACCGGTGGCCTTCAAGGTGGTCGCACTCGGTGAAATTGGTGACGGTACTATAGTTACGGTGCGCGCCGGTAACGACGAGAATTGCTGCGCTGAACTGAGAAACTCCACTGCTCTCATGAAGAATCAAGTTGCCAAATTCAACGACCTCAGGTTCATTGGTCGAAGTGGAAGGGGTGAGTTTTCTGACTTGATATCCTACTTTTCGTGATTCATATTACTTTAATTTTAGTTTATTTACATTCATGAGAATCAGACGGTAAAAAGATGGGCTTGTGATTTAAAGAAACTAAATTCCATTGTTTCAACATCTTTGTCAAATCCATAAACTGCACTGAGAGAAGGATGTATTTACTATTAACGATAATTATGTTAACAGAAAATAAGTTTACGTGTTCTTTATAACTTTTTACGTTTAAACTGACACAGATGGCATGTTAATAGTTAACATGCCATATTTACGTTGAACCTGTGCCATGTCAGATGGCACCACACGGGATACATATTATACGTAAGTTAATGGTTAACATATGAAGTTAATTACGAACAAGTTCTTCTCTCAGTGTTTGAGGTTTTAAGCCCACATACGATATACTAATTAATTAATTTTTTATATGTATACCAAATACTACATTTTATTGGACACCCGTGCGTACAGATGACAAAAGTAAAGCATTGTTTTGAAGCAAACAAATTAAGGACTACGGAATTGGTATCCACAATAGATAAATGCGTATTTACAATGATAATTTATTTTTCCAACTTTGGGTATTTTTTTCTTAACATTTGGACGTTTGGTGCACCCCTAGTAGAAAAAATAGGGTTAGCACATGGTGCAAATCCAACCAGGGCAAGCATAAGGAGTTCTTCGGGCCCTACTTTGCATATCTCTTGGGTTTGGAGCTTGCCCTGGTGACATGCGCCACCAGGTACAAAAACTACCATTTCGGATATATTTCCAGATATCTCTGAAACTTTTCTTAAATCTGATGAGTGGATATACTTAATTAATTTTAAATAAACTTCAGATATATTTGAAGCATTTTATCATGCTATTTTGTTAATTTTTAACTATTTTTATATGCTGGTAAGGTAACGCTGACAGTGCCATTAACTAAGAGTCTATTCAAATAGCGGTCGTACAGAAGCTAAAAAATTCATGCATAGTAAAGCTTTAATTGCATACTTCTGTTTTTTAGTTTTTCAATAAGTTAAGTATTAAATAGTTTTAAATCTTACTTATGAGAAAGTAAAGAAAAATAAATCGTGGGAAAAATAGTTTGTAGTTATTCGTTTGAATGATATTTTAGAGTGCCGTTTATTGTAAGGCTACGTATACACGCTGCGGAAATTTACGCGACGGAACTCTGGCGTCAGCCCATCAGAGAAAATCCCTTACCAGCGCTTATTTCCGTTCCATAAGGTCAAGGGACCCCCCGTTTACATGAAGTGAAAAATTCCGCAACGGAAACTTCGTGAACCAATAAGAGCACAGCTCTTCCGATAGATCTTTCTATAGCTTCATGTTGATTGGATCATAATGTTTTCATCACGTAATTTTTCACTCCATGTAAACGGGGGGTCCCAGGATTTTCGGAAATTCGCGCAGAAATCTCGTCATCTGCATTGTAGCTATAGTATTCATCGTAACTATTGTTTATTTTTATATCTGTGTATTACGGAACTGTGCAACTAAAAAAGCGAAAACGAATAGAAAAACGGTACTGCAATTGTTTATGCTAAAACAAATCAAATCAAAATGTACAAGAGACCCATGCATACACGTAAAGCACTTTAATATATGAAAAAAAAAGTTATATCTATTCTTTTGGACCACAACGCTGGCTATAACCGGAAGTAACGATATAACTATACGTAAGTGTACATATATATATATATATTCATACACCATCAGAAGAAGATACAGTTTTCCTCATCACGCATGATTGTTTTTTATATGTCATTGTTTCCAGCTTTAAAATGTGTATGAACGAAAATCGTGTGATTACTTCCGATATTTATCCTAATGCATACTGGTGCTGCATGTTTACATACATTTATTCAAGTTTTAGAATTGCACAGCAAATTTTTCGTTCGTCTATCTGAATATAGCTAGAAACAGGATGTTATCTTATCTTATCTTACTAATGCATGAAGCACAGTAACTAAAACTGTTGTAACCACTAACCGTGAAATCTACTCAACCGATCATGCTGAAATTTTGCATACTGATTCTTAATATTACCTAGATGGTTTTAATATAGTTTGCATTTTAAAGATATTAATAACAATGGCAATAAATAAGCTTAAAAATTTGTAAAAATACGCTAGCTTGTAACTTCAGTACAGTAGAATCTGCTAGATGGCATAGAAGTGAAATAAAAGATACCTGCAATAGAATTAAATAAGTGTACTTATTACATTCCCGAGCAAATAACCGAACACCTCAGTCAACCATCGGCAGTGCATGAAGCATAGAACTGGGAGTCGTGCCGCTGGGTATCCCAGCTACCGACAATGCTGCTATATAATGGACAAGCGACTTACGTTAAACTTTATACTTAACCACTAAGATGACCGAATGCTACAAATAAAAAGGTGTGCCAGAGCACAATCTGCTCTAGCATTTTGGGATTTAACGGCCATTCTTCCAACTGAACTGGGGCTACCAGAGCAGATTTTGCTACAACAATAAGCCAGGAACAACAACCCTGAGGAGTTTGAGTAGCCACAACGACCTGGAGAACGACTTGAAGACAAGAAATTTTTTGGTCAGCGGCGAAAACCCCTCCAGCAGCCCTCCAGCATACCCTTGCATACCACAGAGACTCAGGGGGTAAGAGTCATGCTACGCGCAGCCAGCTTTCCATCATCAATAATAACAATAAGTTTCACTACTAACCCTTTTCAGGGCTATTATAAGTATTTATGTTCTATACTTAACCATCTATCTCATCGGTTCTTTTAAGGGCCACCTGAGGTTAAACTACCTTACCAACAAATACATTTTTACTTAATGTTTTGGCAATGATTCGTTAACTAAAAGACCATATAAAGCCGGACACTACGAAATCATATTAATCATTCACTGGCAGACGTCACGAGCAAAGTTGTTCATCGCAAGGCTGGAAACCTCGGTGACCGATGACCCTATTATTACCTTCTCGATTCTAAACATTCAACCTGGAATCATTGATTCTCTCCGAGGTCTGCGCTGAGCGAACAGATACGAACGAAAAATAAACTTTAGCAAACGGGACAGTCTCAAACAGTAAACTATGCACCTAGTGACTGATGTTAAGAATGTCTTAGACTTCACGTTGTTTAGATGAAATCTTACACATTTTTTAACCTCCGAACGTAGTGCGTATACTGTTTCTCACTAATTCTGCGCTGGGAGAAGGAATTTTCGTTCCACAAAGCGGAAAGTTTCTTTTTTCGGTACAGTATGTTAAAAAACTTTTACAAGCTAGACGTTGGTAGTTGATTATGGTAATTTATTTTTTATAATTTGTGATGATAAACTCTACATAATATTAGTTATAATGTTTTCTTGTGTGATATTGAGCATAATTCGTAAATGTTAAAAATTAAAGAAAGTTCAATATATTTGTTATTTTTACGTTTGTATGATTTTAAATTTGATTTTTATATTTTTAGTGTAAAAGTAACTTATAGATACTTCTAAAAATTCAATGTCCTATTTATTATATTGTATTCCATCGTAGAAAAAAAATTAAAATAATATTTACTTAAACATCTAAACCTTAATTACTTTATCTTACCTTAATTTTCGCTATTTCAATACATGAAGAACCATCATAAACGTATTTAAACAACACGATGAAAACAAAGAACGGAGTCTATTTAAATAAAAAATACTATACAAATTTCATTCTAGCAATTCCAGTGTATAATTATGTTTAACTTAGTGTTCACGTGAATTGGCAGTGAATCAGATCGTACACATATGCATATCGAAATATCTTGTTCTAAGTAGCATATACATATTTTTTAATATTAAATCAGGTTCAAAGGAGTTAATTACGTTATTACTAAAGTAAATGTAACCTTAAAAATTTACATAAAACAAAGTAACGAATTAATTCATTTTAAAAGATAGATTTTTCATACATCGGGCCTTTATCGTAATACTTAGACGTTTGTTTCGCCTTGAGTGAAAAAAGCATAATTCACCACATAATATGTAATAATACTTATGTATTATTTGACTATGACTGTCTAACAAGCCTAGCAAAGCTATGGTATTAACGTGATGAAAACTCCTATAAAGGTAACTTTAATTAGGGGGCCAGGTAAGGTCCCGTCACCTTTCGAGTTAGGATGGACCGACCAAAGTTTTTTTGAGTATTTTACCTGCTGAACACGATTTTCGATGGTCGATCACTGTCTGAGTGGCAAATTTTTCGTTATAAGCGAATTTTAAAACGAATAAACAAATTGAAAAATTTTTTGATTTAGATGAAAATTAGTTAATTCCAATTCTTCAGCAAATTTCAAACAAAAAATCAATTGAGATGTATATACCTAAACTCCATTGATTTTTAGGTAAAAATTGCTCAAGTCTGAAAAATCGCGTACTTCGCGATTTTTGACCAAGTGTTTCTCAGCTGTGGATGCATTATTTTCAACGTATATGGGCTCAAATCTTACCTTCAAGCATGTACTTTTGGATAAAAAAATATTTGTAAGCGTCAGTTGCTTAACTTATATAGATATACAGTAGGTCATGAAATTTACCAGTCGTATTCGCTCCGAGCCGATGCAGAGGTTGCGCCCCCTCTGTATCTGCTCGGAGCGAATATCAGTAATATCGCGGTTGTTAAGCATCTAACGTCTACAAATATTTTTTTATCTAAAAGTACATGCTTGAAGGTAAAATTTAAGCGCACGGAAGTGAGAAATAATGCACCCACAGTTGAGAAACATATGGTCGTAAATAGCAAGAAACGTATTTTTCACAAACTTAAGAGATTTTTTACTAAGAATCTATGGGGTTAAGGTATGTACATCCCAATTTATTTTTTGTTTAACATTTGCTAAAGAATAAAAATACATTTTTTTTTACCAAAATTGTAAAATTTTTAAATTTGTTTATAAAATCATTAATAACGAGAAATTGACCACATGGACAGTGATCCACCAATCATGTTCA